CCGTATCCACGGGATACGTTCCAAGACCTACCACGGAGATCCGAAACCATATAGCGGTATTCGGTAGTCATTCTGCAAAATTTATTATCGGGAGCTCTGTGAAATTTATTGTTGGGATCCCCATTTAAGGCTACATTTATGTAATACCTAATCGAATAAATCAATAAACAGAAAAAAGCAACGACAGGCAAGTCTAGCAATAGATGTAACAACCATACTAAACCTTTCATATTGGGATCTTAATTTTAGATCGGACAGTTTATTTCATATTAAAGCTAACTGTAAACAAGTATGCTTGCATTAAGAGCTTCACAGCATATCAAAGTACAGGAAGGCAGAGCAGAAGGTTAAACAGCTGAAGATTTAATGTGACCCTGTCCACATTGTATGGATTATATTTATGTAATGAGGATTTTTCCTCTCACTGCCCACAGTGTCCTGATGGAGAGAGCAGGCTCACCTGTACCCAGCTGTGTTTCCATGAAGAGTGACAAGTCAATGGTCCGACCACTCAGCTTCAGAAAGGGACCATTTCCATCAGATCAAAGGTAAATGTGCATTAAAACAAACACTATTTATAACACTCATACTCAGTCAAAAGTCATACAGGCACACAAAAGCTATGAGGAAAAAGCTTTATAATGAATGCATAATTTTTGCAACTTTTGCAAATCCCATTCTCTTTGACGATTTAAACAGTATTTCTATCTGTATTCTATGTATATTTCATCTGAGGTAAAAGGATGAGGATTACTGTAAAGGCTGACTTCCTGTAAGCTGGAATTAGAAGGTAGATTGTCATTTGCATTTTACTTTTCAATCTTCAGCATGCAGCTGGAAGAAAGCTAGTGCTCTATATTGATTAAGCATGATTGGACAATAGATTGTCCTCTTCTGGTACGGACATTTCTGCTTTGTAAAGAAATACATTGTCATGGATTCATTAGATCTGCTCAGACTAAGGCTTCAGTTTGAGCATGTTTCATGGAACAGTACCTGTTAATAATTAACTAATATATCATCAGACAAAAAAAAAAAAAACGCAGTTACTTTCCTTCCCAAAGATATTTAAATTTTTTGCTGATCCAGATCAGAGCAAATGTGATATTTATGTGATGAAAACTGAAAATAAAATGATAAGAAAAGGATTTCATCAATCAAACTTTAAAGAAAACGAAAAGCATGAGACACAAAACCTAAACTGATATTAAAAGAACAAAATCCATAGCTAAATAAAATAACATAAAAATTACAATAAACAAAAATTTGTGGTTTCTATTTTTTAGTTTCTATTTTTGAGTTTAAAAGCATGCCCTGTAGTCTATCAGACTATATTGCTTTACCAGATGTCTCTCCTCAAAATAACCGACGGTCAGCATAGCCTATGCTAAGTGTGTCAAATTGACAAAATCAGGTGTGGGCCCATGAAATTAAAGTGTGTTTTGCAAAAAGGGTTTAGAGCCATGTTTCTCAGCTCCTTCTTCTGGGACCCCCAGACAGTCCACATGGAATGAAACTACACTACAAAAGA